ATGAATCCTACATAAAGCTAGATGCACAAGTCATCATGGATGCTCAGTTGGCTCTCTCAAAATCTATCAAGGTATATTTTATTTCCTGCAACTACTGGTGGCGGCTACTGATCTTGCAATTGAATGAACATTGCATGATTTAAGTTTAAAAAAATAAATAAATAAATAAATCTTTGCTTAACTCTCTAAGCAATACCTCTTTAACGTTATACATTTTAATCTTTGGCAATCGGTGCTTTTGTTCTGCATTTATGAGCTCATCTGCCAAGCCATTGCATGCCTATATGAGCTCATTGCTGAGCAAATGCCATGCAATCTCATACATAAATGGGCCATCATCATAACAAACACTTGCATATATGGACCAGTCACCTGAGCAAATGCCACATGGGCTCATAACCTGAGCAAAATGCTATGCTTATTTTGGCTCATAACCTGTGCAAAGCGCAGCAATTAATATGAGGGCACGTCGCCCCAATGAAAGCTATGCATGTACAGGCCCGTCGGCCAAGCAAAAACGCTATGCATGTGAGGGCGCGTCGCTCTAACGGACGCTATGCATGTGAGGGCGCGTCGCCCTAATGAATGCTTTGCATGTGAGGGCCCATCGCCCAGCGAACATAGTGCATGTGTGGGCCCGTCGCCCAGCGAACATAGTGCATGTGTGGGCCCGACGCCCAGCGAACATAGCGCATGTGTGGGCCCGTCGCCCAACCAAACATGGTGCATGTATAACAGTCCTTGTATCTGATGTTTACATAGTAAATACCTCAGTACTCCTTATGTAATGTAAGCATGAAATTGTTGCTCTCTGCAAACAATTTACAGCGTCGAGGCCTCGGCCTCTAAAACTTGAGTTTTCTTTTAACCTGATGAAAATTTTAAGCTTAAAGCCGCTTAGGTACTCCAGGTGACCTATGCGTTAGAACAACCAAGTTCTGTCACTTATTACATTACCACAATGGTATTTAAAATGATGAGCCCATTCACTTATCACTCCATTTTAGCATATGCAATAATTAAAAGCACTTAGTACACTTAATCAGTAATTTAATTGCACTTGTTACTAATACCACAATCTGTACTTTTATTGGATATATACTGATGCATCTTGCTAATATCTCTTATGTTCCTTTTCAGACTAGTCAATCCAGGTAAAGCCTTTCCCGGTGGGTATCCATTATCTCTTACAAATCTTTTGGGGTATGCTCCGCCCCCGCCATCCCTGTACGGCAGGATCTGCGAAGCTCTCCTCGTCAAAGTACCTGGGCTGATGATGGGGCCCGCGCCAAGGACTTTAACTTACAAAATTGTGTTATCTATGGAATTGTTAAATATTATTAGGTTAAACTATTTTCCTTCCTTCACGTTCGTCTCTGGAGTCTTTCTGGTAGAACTGTATTGTGTTGTATGTTCTTGCGCTGGCTTACCAAGTTGAATTCCTGTATGCTTTGTACATTTGGGGGAAAAAATTATTTAAATTCAAAATCACTAAACGTACTGTGGCCACCAAAAAGGGACAAGATAAAGGCCAGAAGAGTGGAGCATGTTTGGTGATGTTGTTGATAGCCAGCTTAAGGCCACACCCTGAACCTTCTAAATTAGAGGGAGACCATAGATGCATGTTATGTCGCAAAAAGAGATCTCTGTTAGTCAACACTGGCAACTATAAATTAAAAGAGTTTTACAAGGACAATAAGAATAGTCATGATAATAATATAAGTTTATTTAAATAATATCTTAGTAATATTTAGTATATATTTAACCATTATTTGTTTTTTACACCCTGTTGATGTCACTGTATATCACCTGTGATTGCTCTTCCCACAAATTAAGTGTCTCCTTAAGTGTCTCAGTACATGAGATGAGTAACTCTAATTGGCCCATATTCAACATGCTATGAAACAATCATTACTTGTAAGTAGTCCAAAAAGTGGATTCAAAATCTGTCATACACAATTACTGATTTTGCTGTGTAACTGTCATCACTCTGCTAAGAACCTTATGAGCCTACTTGTGAAATCGTGCGTGGACCACTGAATTGCTGCCTCACACTGTCTATCTGCCTGTTACCTGTTACAGATCTGTATTTAACATTATGAATTATAATCTCTCTGTCTGTATAACAGGACCTGCATCCATTATGGATACTGCCACCGTCCTCCACAACCTACCATCACAAAGAACAAACAAGAGGCATGCTTGTTTTCCAAAACGCCACACTCAATCTTTGGTGCTGATGGGGTCCTGACATACAACATCCTCAACAATAAAAAAAAGTTTGTTGGCAAACTGGCTATAAAGTTCTCTGTGCCTTACGCCATCTTTAAAAACAGCTTTGCTCTTGGCATTTTTGAAGAAAACAAAATTGATCTTAGAAAAATACAAATAAACATAGAGGAAAAAGGTAAAGGGAGGAACATAACATGTTCTGGAAACGGAGCTCTAGTGAAGGGAACAATGTCTGGTGGAGGCCAGTCAATTGTGAAAATTGAATTGTGGGATCTTGCTGCCTTTACTGAAGCTCCAGAGGCAAACTGACCCAAATCCAGCACATACAATACAGTGCGAAAAGGCCATCAGAGGAAGTCTTTAACAGTTACCATCCAATATGTAGTTTATCAAATCAATCATTTATTAAATTAAATCAGGTGAAGAATTGAACAGATTCATGTGATGAACCAAACCTGTGTTCTACTAACTGTACTTATCTAATCTACATATTCAGATCTTTACTAAAAACAACACAGTCTGGCTGATGTACTTATGATTATTAGTACTGATTCTAATGTTGTATCATGTTTTATTGGCAAAAACATGCTGCTGAGAGTTTTTTTTAACTAGATTCCCAAAGCTTTTACACAGTACTGTAAATGTTTTTAAGTGCTAATTAAACATTGGAAATCTAAGCATTGATAAACAAGCATGTAATACCTTGTGTAGTTCTGCTCAGCATGTTTATATGAAAAGCACTGTGTATCCTGAATTCGGCCTCTTTCTGGTCTTTTCTCTGCCTGTTCTGACTCTTTCCTCTAAACTTGCTTCCTGTTTACTGAGAGACATTATTAATGTGATATTAATAAACTGCTTGCTGTTTACTGAGACATTATTAAAGAGATATTAATAAACTGCTTGCTGTTTTCTTCATTATGAGTTATTGAGTATCTGTGTACATGGTCATCACCAGTGTGAGGACACTGAGGTCCAGACCTCGATAGATTCTAAAGGAATCATGAGATTCAGTGTGGAAACAGTGACGTTCTGATAGTGAGACAGCTACACTACACAGAGTGACCCTGACTGCCTGAGATGTTCAGATGTGCAGCAACACACTGACATACACACTGCCAACATATGACATCACTAGGATATAAATGTGAGTGTTCATGAGGGCCATTACAGATTAAGCTTGTAAAATGTAACCTGTAACACTGCTGTCTAAATCGGCAAGTTAGAGCTCAGCTGCAGAAGCTGCTTAGTTTAGGCTGCAGGCTCTGTAGTTCACTATTGTAGTGATCAAATGAGAACATAATTCTTATTCAGAACTATCGGCCAAATATGCTTGCACACAGAGGTATTTGACCTCCGTATTTAACCCATCTATGCAGTGAAACACCAACATACATGCACACTAGTCAACACACACACTAGGGGGCAGTGAGCACACTTGCCCAGAGCAGTGGGCAGCCCTATCCATGGCACCCAGGGAGCAGTTGGGGGTTAGGTGCCTTGCTCAAGAGCACTTTAGTCACGTACTGTCAGCTCAGGGGATCGAACCGGCAACCTTCTGGTCACAAGGCTGGCCCATGACTGCCCCATGACAATTTAAAGTTGTTAAATTGTATCATAATATACTACAACAAGCAGGAGAGAGTTCACTGTTAACTAGTGTACTAAAGGCACAGTATTTAAGAAATCAGCAGAGGAGATATTATACAGAAGCTAAGGAAAGTAAAATAAAAAAAAAAAAATGGAAACTGCCTCTTTAATTTTTTTTTTTCTGCCTGTATAACATAACAAAAACAGGCAAAAATTCTAACATCACTTGTACAGTTTTATCCATAACAAACCTAAAAAGATCTCCATTACATTTTTTCCTCTTCTTCTATATGAAGATATTGACTTACACAAGCATATTCTTTTTCACCTGGTTTATTGAAGGTAAGGGGAAACAAAAACCAGTAAAATTCTAAAAATATAAGGGTAAATAAATTCATAAAAAATTGCCAAATAATTCAAATCAGTTCATGAAACAGTAATAGCAGATTATGGAAGAATGGAGGGATGGGAAATGAAAGGAAAAAGAGATGGACATTATGGATGCATGAAACAGGAAGCAGAGTGGTGACAAATGTAAGGGATATTAGAAATTGACTGTTGTTTTATACATATTCAGCAGTTTAATGTAAAACAGGCAACTTTTCTTCAAAATATACCTTAACCTGCTCACTTTCAAACTGTAATATGATTACTGATTACTGACTACTCATAACTTCACTCCAGAGTTTCTCTCTAAAACCCACACACATCTGTACCAGCTGTACAAGCCCAACAGTGCTTTCAGCTCTTTATTTACAAACAGCCAATCACAGTGAACATCATTTAAAAGCCCTTTAAACAGCTCAGTTCTGCTGATTACAGTGATTAGCTGAGGCTGTTTGAGTAGAAACAGTTCAGAATCAGGAGCACAACAGCAGATTAGATTAGTATTCATGTTTTCTGAGGTGGGCTGCTCTGTGGAGCTATTAGTGCATTATTGTGTTGTATTCATCCCCACATACACACACCCACTTAGGGGCGTCTAGAGGTTTATGGATAGGGGGGCTAAGCCTGTACTGGGGGGTCTGGGGGCATGGTCTCCCATGAAAAAAATTTGAATGGCCCCAGAATGTGTATTCATCATAAACTGGGTAGCAGCGGGCAGAAATGTATCAAAAAAATTGACTACTTGGTCACATATTAGATCTGTCTCTGAAGTTTGTATTAAGCGCAAAGCTAGTATGACAAACACTATATCCATCCACTTACAACAGACACAGATCAAGCAAAGGTACTGAAGTCCAGCAGTGCTGTCTCCTCTCTCTTAGATCAGCTGAAGGTCCTAAATATACTGTTCAAATACACAGATTATAGATCAGTTCAGTCTCAGTTGGTGCAATCAGAAAGTGCGTGATTTTGCTCTCTAGACTTGTTCAGTATTCATTTTAACTGAAAGGTTGAACAACTCCCTCGCTTTCTCCTTGATGACTTACCTCCATCAGATCTTCTCCTTCAGCCCTGTCAGTCTCCTTCAGCTTCTTTCTCTCCCTCTCCTGGCCTGGGATTAGTAATACATTATTTTATTAAACTCAGATTTAGAAGAACTCAAGGAAATAATGAGAGATCAGTCAATTCTTTTGTTTTCATTATAATTGGTAAAAAAATCTTTGACTGAGCTGCCACCTCTTAATTTCTATCTACAGGTTGAGAAATTGAGGGATATAATATTGCAATGTGATCAAAACTATGTGACTTCTTCACTTACATTAACTTACTGTAAAGAACAATATATGGCAAATACTGCTGTCAGTGATTCCAAATACTGAAGAGAAAGATAAAAACAAAGACCAAAGACACACAGTACCCGCGCAACCTGATAAAAAAGAAACATTTTAACATTAGAATGATGTGAATTATTTACACATATATATAGTATCTTAAATGTAATTGAAGCTATGATTAATATTGCTAACAGTCTGTGTAGTTTAGTACTGTTAGTACAATGATGGACTGTAGTTAGAAAGAAATGCTTTTACTTGATTGAAAGACTTGAATAAACTATATTAATCCAGTTTGGTCATTCAGTTACTTATTTTGGTAAATTATTGCATCAATTTTCTGTATTTCATTCATCTGAAAAGTCACTAAACCTAATATTACAGTGCACCAAACTCACCTTTAGATCAGTGGATAGCTGGACGCTGTGGCGATACCACACTGATTATTCTTGTTCCTGGACATCTTGATGTAGCTTTTGTAACCCCAGTCAAGACCCCAGCTGTAACACAGAACTGAACTGAATTCCACTGTGGAAATGGTTCCATTTGGACGTTTGTCTCTTTGAATGTTATCCAGTAGAACTTAAGCTAGTACTGGCAGGGCTGTTTCTTGAGAAAACTGAACTTAAAAATACCCAGAAAACTTAAAAATTCACCCAGTGGTGGCACTGTCCCCTGACCCTGGGGTTCACAATCCAATGCTGTGGAAAAGATGGTCTGGCAAAAGACAAGGTCATCAAGAGAGCAGCAAGACCCAAAAGAAACTAGAAGCACTTTACAGGACCAACGCTGAGTAACTGGAGGGAGCTCCTTAAGAAGGACTAACACAGGTGTTCAGGACTGCTCTGATTGAGATTAGGAGGCTGCTATCTGCCTCCCTCTGGTGGCAGCCAGAGGTCCTGCCTCCATCCTTTTAAAGATGTACAACTTCAGAGGTCTATAGATCCACTACATCAGTGGACAGTTACAGACTGTAGCTCATCTGCTGCCACACTGTGTATCCACCAAAACTGCCCTCATCAGATAAACAGCACTTAAAGCTTTCATCTTTGAGAGAGAGGAGAAAATCAAGCTGCTCCAGATCTGAAAACATCCACTGGTGTTTCTGTCCATCCTTTCACTGTGAGAAGACGACTCAGCGCTGTGGGTCTGAAAGGATGTGTAGCTGTCAAGAAGACCTCACTGATAAAAGGAGACGGACACATCAAACAAAGAAGCTGAACAATGGACTGACCTCAACACCACTGAATGTATTTGATTACTTCAGAAAATGATCAACCAGCTTCTAAGACTGAACTTTGGAGGTGTGTCTGCAGATTTCTTTGAGAAACTGAAAGTGAGTCTCCTGAAAAGAATGGAAGCTGTAATAAAGGTAAAGAGTCACACACTGAACATTCAAACAGCTCAGATTAGATTTAGCTGTTGAGGACTCTGGGTAATTTTCTGGGTTTCTGCATTCTTCCTGATGCTAATAAATGAATAAAATGTACTTGACTAGAAATTAAATAAATGAATTAAATTAAAATTAATTAAATTAAATTAAATAAATGAAGGGGTCTCTTATTCTCAATGCACAGTACTGTATATCAAGTCTGGCCATTTTGTACACTTTTTTGATACACTGTTTGTGTGTGCATAAAAGGTCAAACAAGTGTGCTACAGCTTTAGTTTTCTTTGTGTAGCATAGTAACGACAAGATTAGGATTGTGAGTGCCAAAGCTAGTAGTGTGTGACACCTTCTCTGTCTAACTGTCTAGTGTGTGCACCCTCAAGACAAAAAGGCAAAAATTCTGGAGAAGACTGACGTTAAATGTGAGATGCTCTCAATTTTGTAAATCTGTGAGTTTATTAAGTTGTACAGTGAACACCCAGCTTAACACAAACTGCATTAACAGATGGGCCTCAGCTTCTAACTATACACCAGCAAGGAGCCTTATGACATCATACAATATCTTAAAAATGTGAAACAGAATGATATTAGACTAACTTTGAACATATCATTTCTCTTTTCTGTATATTAGGGTCTTCACCAGCAGAGGATACTCTCACAACGCCCCTCAGCCTACGATACAGAGGAGGACGATGGAGGCGTGCTCCTTCACCAAAACTGCAGGAACAGCCTGCGGAGCTGTCGGGGTCCTCACGTACGAGATCTTCAAACATGACTGCGGAGAGTGGGCTGGAGATCTGGTCATAATGTTCTCCGTCCCGTACGACTACAACCTGTATGAGAACTGGTTTTCTCTCGGCATTTTTAAAGAACGCGCTTCCTGCAACGAGCAGCTCTTCCACCAGCTGTACTACGATAACAGCCCCTTCACCAGAGCCAAAAGCACCGGGAACGAGATCAAGTTTCTTGGAAGACACGTTTACGTGAAGGGAATTGTGGGATTTGTAGTCCTGCAGGCTTGAAGAAAACGTGCAGCACTTCTTTTCACTTTTCTTCTCACTTATTTTACCATGAAAAATAAGTATTCATCATCATCTTATTAGAATATAGTTGTATCCATCTTGTAGTTGATAATCTTCCTCCTCTTTCACCCTCAACTGTTTTGAGCGTAACAGTCATTTCCAGTGAACTGATTCTTCTCATATTGTGTCTGAAATGAGAGCTTCAGTTTGGTTACTGGGCTTTGAGTGAGAACAGAAAAAAGATTTGGTCAAGAATTTGGTGAAAAGTCTTCACCAACACTGTGAACACACAAAGTGCTTGAACTCATACAAAACACAAGTGGGAACAAAACTGAATTTGGCAGATTTAGCTTTCGGAGGACAGTGTCCATGATTTCCAAAAAGAATTTCAAATTTTGATTTGTTGGACCACAGGACACTTTTCCACTTCCCCTCAGTTCATTTTAAATGAGCTCGGGCCCAGAGAGGGTGGCAGCATTCCTGCATTAAGTTTATATATGGTTTTTTAGAGTTTTAACTTGCATTTGTGGATGCAGTGTGATGTGATGAACTGTGTTCACAGACAGTGGTTTTCAGTAGTTTTTCTGAGCCCATGCAGTGATTTCCACTACAGAATCATGTCTGTTTTTAATGCAGTGCTGCCTGAGGCCCAAAAAATCATGGCCAGCAAATACTGGTTTTTAGCCTTGTCCCTTGCATACAGAGATTTCTCCAGATTCTCTGAATCTTTTAATGTTATTATGTACTGTAGATGATGAAAAGCAAAAGTTCTTTGCTATTTTATGTTGAGAAATCTATTTGATCGTGCAGTCTTTCACAGAGTGATGAACCCCTCCTCATCTTACTTCTGAAAGCCTCGCTCAGATGCAATTTTATACCCAATCACATTACTGATCTTTTGCCAATCAACCACCAGGTGTTTTTTTTTTAGCATTACACAACTTTACCAGCCTTTTGTTGCCTCTGTCCTGTTTTGTGGGACATGTTGTTGGCATCAAATTCAAAATGGGCATATATTTTTCAAAAAACAATAAAATTTCTCAGTTTCACCATTTGATATGTTATCTTTGTACTATTTCCAATGCAATATAGGGTTTAAATGATTTGGACATCATTGCATTTTGTTTTTATTTACATTTGGCACAGTGTACCAACTTTTTTGGAAATAGGGTAATATAATAATCTTTTTTTTTAATTTGTACAGTCATCACAAAATGAGAAATATTAGACATTTATTCTAGACTCATAATATACCGGACTCAATGAATGTATTTCTCTCAATTTTCTTTTCCTTTTTATTTGATTGTTTCATTTTTTTTTCTTTGAGTAAAGTGCCTTGAGATGACAGTCAAAAAAGTGGACAATATATGGATCTGTGATGATGTGGGCTGTTTTTCTTCCAAAGGCCCTGGACAACTTGTTTTGATACGTGGTTTCATGAACTCCATTAGACATGGAATAAAAACCTGACTGCTTCAGCCAGGAAGCTTAAAGTGGGCCATGGTTGAATCTTCCAGCAGGACAATGATCCAAAGCACACCTCATATCTGGTTTCTCTATGGAGGAATGGTCTCAGATCCAGAGCCATGTGTTCTCCTGCCTCATTATGCATTATAGGAGAAGATCAGAGCTGTTATCTTACTTCTTTACATAACATTCACTTTTTTCATTCATTGTACATCAAATAAAGGTTTGATTTTTGTTAATATTTCCAATGAAAGATCACAAGGCTTAGCAATAAAGAATGTTTTTACAGCCCACTTTCCTCATGTTTATGAGGGGTGCCAATATTTGTGGAGGGCGCTATAAGTGGAGCTTAGCAGAGTCAGCGTCTCTGAGTGCTGGAGTCCTGGAGGAAGGGCAGGTGAATCAACAGAACAGAAATAAAAAGGAATACGGAACTAAAATCGTTTGTTTTGAATGTTATGCATGTTGTGGCTGTTTCTCAGTAAACAACTAAAAGGAAATAAAATGGAAAAGGGACAAACATGTTTTTGTACATAGATTGCAACCGCCCCCCCCCCACCTCCAAAACAAACACATTTACTTTAACAATAATATTCTAATATGAATATTGGTATTCAGTATGAATATTGTAAATTTGTTCCATCATTTAAAAGATGTATCTGAATAGTTGAGGCAAGAGTATCTATTAATCTAATCAATGTAGACGAGTGAATCAATCTCGCAACATTGTTTCAGTGGACAGGAGTATTAACAGGTGATGTTTTAATTGTTTCTGTATCCTAAGACATCTATTAAACTTTAATACTTTACTTTGCCTAAATATCATCCACACTGTTGCCAAGTTTAATGTAGTTCAGGGCATTTTCAGCATTTTAGATCCTCCTAACTGTTTACTTAAACATATTCTAAAAATTCTAAAATCCTTAATTCTAAAATTCTTAACTACTTTAAACTTTAAAGTTCTTCATAAGCTCACATCACGTTTTTAGGGAACCAAAAGTGGTTCTTCTGTGGCATGACACCTGGCACCTTTGTATTTAAGAGTGTAGTTTTGTTGTTGGAATATTAGACTGGGGTGTATTAAATTGTTTTTTTTTATTTTTTGATGGAACCACCACCCCAAATTCATTCAAGCTTTGTGTATGTCTCGTTTCACAAGGCAAAATTTTCCATGCATAGAAGGCTACAGCTTGGCTTATGTATTGCCTCTTAAAGCTGCAGACTAGATGTTTTCGGACTTTAAATTTATCCAAATTCATGGTCATCTCAATGGATGGAATCTCTCTGTGCTTCACAATACTACAGTCAATCAGCTCAAGACTATTTCCAAGTTTGGAAATCTCAATTTCTAAACTAGTGTGTCAACAGATTACAAATATTATTACTAACAGGTGTATAAAATCAAGCACATAGTCACACAATCTCCATAGACAAACACTGGCAGTAGAATAGGTCGTACTGAAGAGCTCAGTAACTTTAATTGTGGCAGTCATAGGATGCTACTTTTACCACAAGTCAGTCTGTGAAATTTCCTCCATGCTAGATCTAGATCATCTTACACAGAGTCAGCACGAGGAAAGCAGCTGGTCCAGATGAGATCGCTGGAAGGATCCTCAAGGCCTGTGCAGACCAGTTAGCAGAGGCATTTACCACCATCTTTAACCTCTCGTTATTACAAACAGCAGTACCCACCTGCCTTAAGTCGGCCACAGTCCTCCCAGTACCAAAGAAGAGAATAGTATCACTCAGTTGCTTGAACCCCCATCATCACTTAATGTTTTGCAGGACTCATCTTTTCTCACATTAAGGCTGCCATCCCTGCTAACTTTGACCAACATCAGTTTGCATATCGAGCAAACAGATCGACAGAGGATGCAGTCATCACAGCTCTCCACACAGCCCTTACTCACCTGGATCAAAAAAGTACATATGTAAGAATGCAGTTTGTGGACTCCACCTCAGCTTTTAACACAGTTATCCCTCACAAACTGGTTCAAAAACTGGTTCTTAGGCAGTTCATTATGCACATGGATACTGGACTTCCTGAGCAACAGACCCCAGAATGTAAGGATGGGAGATCAGATATCATCCACTCTCATCTTGAATGCTGGCACACTACAAGGGTGTGTCCTCAGCCCCCTCCTGTACTCTCTCTTCACCCATGACTGCTCCCCTATTCACTCTACCAACACACTGTCAAATTTGCAGATGTTATCCCCATTGAAGGACTGATATCAGACAATGATGAGACAGCCTACAGAGAGGATGTTCACCATATGACAGAATGGTGCAGTTACAATAAGCTGGACTTATTGCTGGACACAAATCCAAGAAAATGATTGTGGATTTCAGAAAATCAAAGCGCACTGAGCACTCTGCCCTTTTGCGTACATGGGGAGAAGGTGGAGAGGGTAGAGAGCTTTAATGACCTTGGTGTGCACATCTCAGCTGACCTTACCTGGACCACACACATCTCCCATCAGGTGGGGAAAGCCCAACTTCCTCAGGATGTAAAGACATGCTCACCTCCCTAATCACCTCACTACCCCACCTCAGGGACATTATACTGGCCAACTCCAAAAGGACCCCACTCACCCTGGATCTATCGATCTATCTATCTATCTATCTATCTGGGACACATAGATTTGAGTAAAATATTTATTTCATGATGAGATTTACTTTTCATTTTACATAAAAAAAGTTTTGATTTTTGTCCATGTTTTCAATGAAAAACAAAAAGGATCACCAATAAAGAATGTTGTTTATAGCCTGTTTTGCTCATGTTCATGAGGCGTGCCAATATTTGTGGAGGGCGCGGTAAATAGCTGAAGCGGAGTCAGCATTCAGAATTCAGTGCTTCCAGGGGAAGCGCAGACTGAATCAACAGAACGAAAGAAGAAAGAAAAAGGAATACGGAACTAAAATCATGCTTTGTGAATGTTATGCCTGTTGTGGCTGTTTCTTGGTAAAGTTAAGGAAATAAAAAGAAACAAAATGGAAAGGGGCAAACATGTTTACTGCATGTACAACCCCATTTCCAAAAAAGTTGGGACACTTTGCAGAATGGAAAAAAAGAATGCAATGATATGCAAAACATTTAAAGCATATTTTTTTAAAAAATTGAAAAATGTATGCCCATTTTGAATTTAATGCCAACAAAATGTTCTAAAAAAGTTGGGACGGGGGCATGTTTACCACTGTGTTTCATCACCTCTTCTTTTAACAACACTCTGTAAGCGTTTGGGAACTGAGAAGACTGCTGTAGTTCTAATAGTGAATTGTTTTCCCATTATTGTTTGATATAGGATTTCAGCCGCTCAACAGTTCAGGGGCTCATTTGTCATATTTTTCATTTCAGAAACCTCCAAATGTTCTCAGTGGTGACAGGTCTGGACTGCAGGCAGGCCAGTTTAGGACTTGGACTCTTTTAATACGGAGCAATGCTGTTATAATACATACAGAATGTGGTTTGACATTGTCTTGCTGAAACAAACAAGGCTTTCCCTGAAAAAGATGTCATCTGGATGGCAGCATATGGTGCCAAAACAGATATATATCATTCAGCATCAATGGTGCCTTCACATATGTGCATGTCCCACATGCCATGTGCACTAATACACCCCTATAGTATCATGAGTACTGGCTTTTGAACTGTGCACTGATAACAAGCTGAGTGGTCTTTAGCCCAGAGAAGGTGGCAGCGTTTCTGGGTCCTGTTTATATATGGTTTCTTCTTTGCATTTTAGAGTTTTAATTAGCATTTGTGGATGGAGCGACAAACTGTTATCACAGACAGTAGTTTCAGAAGTGTTCCTGAGACCATGTAGTGATTTCCACTCCAGAATCATGTCTTTATTGCAGTTTTTTTTTTGCGTTTTTAATGCAGTGCCACCTGAGGGCCCAAAGCTCACGGCCAGCAAACATTGTTTTTCGGCTTTGTTCCTTTGCATACAGAGATTTCTCCAGATTCTCTGAATCTTTTAATGATATTATGTACCATAGATGATGAAAAGTCAATGAAATTTTACATTGAGAAACATTATTCTTGAATTGTTGCACTATTTGATCATGCAGTCTTTCACAGAGTGACGATCCCCTCCCCATCTTTACTTCTGAAAGACTCTCTGGGATGCTTTTTCATACCCAAACATGTTACTGACCTGTTGCCAATCAACCACCAGGTGCTTTTTTTTAGCATTACACAAATTTACCAGCCTTTTGTTGCCCCCGTCCCAACTTTCTTGGAACATGTTGTTGTCATCAAGTTAAAAATGGGCATATATTTTTCAAAAAAACAATAAAATTTCTCAGTTTCATTTGATATGTTGTCTTTGTACTATTTTCAATGAAATATTGGGTTTAAATTATTTGTATATTACTGCATTTTGTTTTTATTTACATTTGGCACAGCATCCCAGCTTTTTTGAAAACGGGGCTGTACATATGCTGCACTACACCCCCCACCCCTGAAACACAACTTTTACTTTAATACTGTTGGTCTAATATAAGCATTAATATTCAGTATAAATATTTTTTAAATGTTTAGACATTCACAAGATGTATCTGAATAGTTGAGGCAGCTGTGTCTATTAATCTTAATATTAATAGACACACCTGCCTCACCAACCAAACTGAAGCTCTTATTTAGAGAGATTCTGAGAAGAGCCAGTTCACTGGAAAAGACCATTATGCTTGAAAGAGTTGAAGGTAAAAGAGGACGACCAGCTACAAGATGGATGCATACAATCAGGAATCAAGAACCAGTCTTTCAAATGCATGAAGACCCAATAATTATATACCTCTTAAGAATAAAAAAAATCTGATTTCTGTGTTGGTAAGTGGCTGCTCTGGTATTCCAAGTGGTTGCCAGAGTGCTGCTAGATGGTTGCAGTGGTATCTGAGATGGTTTCTAGAGTGTTGCTAACTAGGTGCTCGGTTGTTACTAGGTGCTATTTTTCGGGTGATTGCCAGGTTATTGGCTTAGTAGGTGCTATTTTGTTGCTAATTAGTCGCAATTGTGTTCCAGGTAATTGCTAGGTGATTTCTGTGGTATCCCAGATGGTTTCTAAGGTGTTGCTTGGTGGTTGCTATGGTATCCCAGGTGGTTCCTAGGGTGTTTTGCCCATACCACCCCACCATTCATTTCTATGGAGAAAAAGAGTCATTTAATGATTATTGTACAACAACCATACATTCGATCAAAAGGCTGTATACAGGCACCTGATTCCTGATTAGACTGGGTCATTAACTCACCAAAACCTAAAGAGGGAAGGGGGCAAAAGCCCTCCAATCCTAGGGCAAAGCTAGAGAAAAGTCATTGTAGTGAAACAGCATTGAACATTTTGAAAAACAGCTGCTATTGTAAAACTGCAGTAAAATAATAAAACCGAAGGGATTTCCAAATTCATCGTTACTTTCTAAATGTTCTGTGGCCACCAAAAAAGGGGCAAGAGAAGGGGCAGAAGAGTGTGGTATGTTTGGTGGAGTTGCTGATAGCCAGCTTAAGGCCATGTCCTGAATATTCTAAATTAGATGGAGGGCATACATGCACGTAATATTGTGAAAGGAGATCTCAGTAAGTCAACACTGGCAAATATTAATTAAAAGACTGGTTTTACTTGTTTTTAGATGTGGAGGGCTTCATTTACTAAATATTTAGTTTTAGTAAACACAATATAATATAAAAAGTGTAAAATAACGAAAATAAAATAATGATAAATCACTTATATATTCGCCCACAATTCCTCTTTGGCTGTCAATAGATTAGGACATAAGTTCAAAAATCTTTGCCCCTAATATTCAACCCAATTGGTCCAAAAGTACAGAAAACTTTGTTATGTTATGTACAAATGAATGATAAAAGCATTTTACTGCAGATCATCACATTACTAACTGGCATCCAGTCTCAGACTCATATTCAACACATCATAAAACAATCATTACCTAAGTAGTCTGATAGAATCCAAACCCCATGAACCAGGGAACTAGGTCTGTTGTCTGAACAAATGAAGTTTATTCGTTGTGCGCACAGGTTCCAGACAGCCAGCCAGCCCGTAAGACAATGGACTGTCACAGTTTTATAGCTGGACTGATGCCAAAATTAGACCCAGCTTATACAGGACAAGTAACAGGTGTGACAACATGACCATATAAGGAGAAACACAAAAATAGGCAGCCTAAAATACAACTTCAACCCGTACACCCACAACACAGCACATTAACTTCCTTCATTCCCCCCTTAGAACATACTATAAAAGGTATGTTCTTGCAAGTTTAATCAATCTATCCTTTCCTCTTCCAGAGAAATATGGCCAGTATTTCCCTCTTTCTTCACGTCTTAAAGACGGGTCTCTTTCCCTTCAGTCCACATACAGGCAAATTTGGGGAAATGAAGTGTTTCCATGGTTATAAGGAACGCCTACGCCGGTGGAGTTTAGTCATTAAGCACCAGAGTAATTTGAGGCAAAAGTAAATAACAATAGCAACTATTACCGGTGCTACAAAGGGAAGTACATAACGGAGCAGTTGCTGTAAGATTCCAGAAAATATACCTCCAAAAATGTTGCCAACCCAGTTAAAGAACTTATCAAGCGATCCTTCTGGATTTGGAATGAGTCTATGAAGATCTGTTACATATTTATCAATATTTTCATAGTTATCTGGGACATAGATACAACAGGAAGTATTGAGAATGTGACATAAACCTCCTTTTTCTAAGGTCAGCAAGTCTAAAACCTTCTTATTCTCCAGCACTACTTCTCGTAACGCATGGAGTTCATCATTTACTAAGCGGAGAGCTTCACTAGTCTCATTAGCTAGTTTCTGTGTGGAATAAACCAAATAATTTATCTTCTGTAAGGCATCTACAACACCTCCAAATAGAAATATTCCCCACCCTACTGTCTGCGCTATACTAGACCAGGGGTCCTTTATAATGTGACCATTCCATGTTTGTTTACCTGTTAGGGTAATGCCAAGTTCTCTTTTCATACGAAGTAAAAGTCCATGAGATTGTAATGTGGTCCATGGATCGGTATGGACTGTAATAGGAGGTATGACTACAGCCATGTAACAGGAACCGCACCATGAATCAGATGGGAGTGATTGATAAGCCTTGTTTCCACAAACCCAGTAGAAACCCAAAGGGAGTGGTTCCCTCATCCAAATACCGCATGGGTTGGTATTTGTGGTGGTAGAATGTTTACACCAAAATGTGCCATTCATAGAGAAGGCAGAGATTGAAACGGAACATGTACTGTTACCAAGATAAGTGTCTGGATAATGTTTGTCAATACATACCCAGCCTGAGGAAGCCCTCACAGGAATGGGATCTGCTACTCCATAATTCCAGCTAGATGTATCCCAATAATCATGCGCTATAGTTAAATTTGGATAAACCATAATGTTGTAATTAGTACTATCAACTCCAACAGTATACTGCCAGCCAACAATCCGGGAGCTATCAGCATTAGGATTGTAACAGGCAGCTCTATTTGACCTGAGACATCTAACAATAGGCAATGGCCAGTTATCTTCACTTATACCATCTACCATCATTTGTGCTATTATTCTCATGGATTCAGATGCAGAATGGTCTGTACATAAAGCTTGCGCAGAAATGTTAGACATTGGGATCACATAATAGCGGTGATGCAAGGCATGGCAAACAACCATCACCTCCTAAGGTATGATTTTGTGTCCACAGGATGGCCTGAGCACAGACCATGTTGTGGTCACAAACATCCTCCATCATGCCTGCAAAAGCTGTTGTCAGGATGTTTATGAAAACTACAGATTTCATTCTTCTTTATTCCCTTTTTGTTATAAAAGTCTTTTTATTATGCAGCTTGTTGCAGTGGTAGCCGTCTTCTCTTCCAGAATATAGGGGGAAAGTGTTGATGTGTCCAAACAGCTCACAGGGCAGCGTCAGGGGACCTAGATAGGCTTTGATGTCAGTTCGTCGACCACCATTCAGGAACCCGTCTGATGTCCTGTTCCTTCGTCACAGTGTCAGGTCTGCTCTGGGCATATCCTAAAACAAAACACATAGACATAGCAGCAGTATCATATTCTTAGTACACAACCCATGTCGTATGCCCTTGTATAAAGGTTTGGTTTAGCCCTTGTAATGGATACCTTCTTTCCCTACCTAACCTGGGTCCTGGCCTCTGCTGGGAGTAGGGGAGCGCTAGTCGCAAAGGGGAATTAGGAAGATCTTCACTCTTGAGGTTGACCCCCATGACCTAAACATCATAGTTCCTCCTCAGAGCATCTCCCAACCAGAGTCACCCATTTTATCCCTAAACTAGCCATCACCATCAGGTGGTGGCTCCACCTTGGTATGGCTCACATGTATCCATTTTGCGTTTCCTTGGCATTTTAGAGCAGAGGGTGTAGTAAGGAGGACCTGATATGGACCTTCCCACTTTGGCCCTAATGGCTGAGTGTTATGCACTTTAACCATTACCCACATACCTGCAACCGTAGGATGACCCCCCCTTTGTGGGTTCTTTCCATGCATCCAACACTTGGTTCTGAGTGGCGGCAACAGCCTCAGATAATGTCTGGTCGTATTGCAGCAGACTATCAGACATAATATGTATGTCTGCCGCTCTTAAATCAATAGTTCCTGGAAGTGACATAGGATGATCAGTAATAATCTCATATGGTGACAGCTGGGTACTTCTGTTAGTTGAAGCTCTGATGCTGCAAAGTACAGCCAGTAAAGCTTCCACCCATGAAACCCCTTCATGATGTAACTTGGTCAGTCTGGACTTTAAAGTTCTGTTCATCCTTTCAACCTGACCTGATGCTTGAGGTCGATAGGGACAGTGGAGATGCCACTTTATCTCCAACAACATTGCTACTTCTTGACAAACCTTCCCAGTAAAGTGAGTTCCTTGATCACTCTCAAGGACCCTTGGGAGAACCCACCTTGGGATAAAATCTTTCACCAGACATTTAGCGGTATGCAGGGCGGTGCCTTTAGTAGTGGCATATCCCTCAGTCCACCTTGAGAACTTGCAAATTATTATCAAACAGTCCTGTTTTCCCTGGCATCTTGGCAAAGTGATGCAATCTACCTGCAATTCTTGAAACGGGCCACTCGGTGGTGTTACAGTTTGGTAGGGGAGGGAGACTGCAAGTCCTGGATTTGCCTTAAGACAGGTGGTGCAAGCTAGACAATGGCTCTCCGCATACTTGCGGAGTTTAGGATTCCACCATACTTGGTTGAAGCAATGTACCATCTGGGTTACTCCAGGGTGACCTAGACTATGTATGGTAGCCACCAAATAGGGAAGCAGGGCATCAGGAGCCACATATTTACCCCTTAACCCAGATACCATCGCGAAGAGCTGCACCTCGCTCAACCCAAGTCCAAACTTCCAAACCCGGGGCCTGCTGGTATAAAGCAAGTAGATCAGCCAAAATTTTAACAACAGGTTGTTCACAGGGTGACAGGATATATTCAATAGGCAAAAGACAAGCCCTTTTTGCTGCATTATCAGCTAAACAGTTACCTTGGTGTTCAGAAGATGTGGCAGAAGAATGGGCTTTTATTTTAATAATAGCAACCTGTTTTGGAAGTGTGAGTGCTTCCATTAGGTCTGCCACCTGCTGAGCATTTTTCACTGGGGTTCCATTTGCTGTCAAAAAATGTCTCTGCTTCCATAACAAGCCAAAATCATGGCATATGCCATGGACATACATTGAATCAACAAATACATTTGCTTTTAAATCTTTAGCAAGCACACAGGCACGAGTTAGTGCTACCAGTTCTGCCTGTTGTGCGGAATAATGATCCGGCAATCTACCGGTAGCTATTTCTTCATACCGTGTTGTGACAGCCCACCCTGTACGTTGTCCCTCATCAAGGACGCGGGAAGAGCCATCTGTGAATAACACAACATCAGCTTTTGGCAAAGGTGTTTCAGCATACATACTTTGCACCGCACTAGACACCAGAGTGTCACACTCACGATCATCTGAGTCACACTCCAGTTCCACCAAATGATCTGAAATAGCATTCACAGGTGCCCTTTTGATCACTATATTAGGGGCAATTAAAACTGCAAGCCAGTTACCCCGCCTTTGTGCTGTCACTGAAAGAATCTTGTCCTTTTAAGAGCAAAGAGGAAACTCAGTGTGGACATTTCAGTGAGAACATAATCCAAAAAAATAGGAGCAACAGCTAAAACCACACAAATAGTTTGCCTGGGTTGCTGTCAGGCAAGGTGACATTCCAAGCATAACTGTGTCTATTTTAGCAGAGTAATAAAACACAGACCTCTCTTTGTCACCATGAGTTTGAGTTAAACAACTAGACACAAGTCCTTGTGATGCTGAAACATACAGTGTGAACAGTAGTTCCATGTTCGCTAGACCTAGGGCACCGCATAATGCAGGTTTAAGAGAATGAAACCTCTTAACTGATCATAAGTTAGCTGAAACTCAGTTTTCTGATTTTCTGTTAGTTAGTTAGATCTTATAGTGGTTAAACAGATTTTTGCATGAACCTCAATTCAAGATAATTATCAATAATTGCACAACCCCAGAAAAGATTGCAGCTGTGCTAACATATCAAGTAATAAAATAGCACACACTGTGGCACAACAGTCAGGTAAAATTGACTTCTGAGCCTGTAAAACCAGCTGTCCTAAATGCTGAACAGAGGATTGATTAATCTTTTTAAAAGAGGCTTTGTGTCCTACGGAATGTAGATAATCTAACAAAGCTAGCAAGTCATGTTCATGTTCCTCTGCATTTGAGGAAGCTATCAAAATAATACCTGACAATGTTGCATTATTAATTTCATACTGCTTAGTATTCAGACAAGGAAAACCCAGTCAGGTTGACATGTTCAACTTTAGGAGCCACAATCTGCAAGAGATTTGGACCACTTCAGGCATAAAAAATAAAACTAATACCTTGCCCCATGAGCTGATTGATGACAGCTAATGCCTCCATGACAACACAGGACAACCACAACCGTACAGGGCGGCGCTACTTTGGCTTTTAAACACAGCTTCAGTTGTATCTGAAACTCAACCCTGAGCTTTCCCAGGAAGTTAGTCCCAGTCACTATATCAAACTTAATTTAAACATCAAACTTTTCCTTACGTTTATACTTCCACAGGCCTATTTTGCCTTGGAGGTCGCATGCATTAAGACATGTTCTGCGAGTTTGCCAGAATGACATATTTAGCTTCTCATCTAGGGACCATATTTTATCTGAATGAACAGGCACTTTCTTTTGACAGTATTTGTCCAAACTAGATGAGTCTATATGTTTACATAACTGTTCATCCGCTCTGACATTGAAAACATTATCAGACCAATCAGGTGCCACCCTACCACCCCTCTGTGTGGTAGCCTTCTCTCCTGCCATGGGCTTATGGGAACACTACCGCGGTCTTCCCCTCTGTTCCATCAACAAGAGGAGGATATCCTACTGGTTTCAGGGTTTGCTTCGAAATGGGCACTCACCTAGAGATGAGATGTCCAATCCGGGTCACGGCACCACTTGATGAATCCAAACCCCAACGAACCAGGGAACTAGGTCTGTTGTCTGGACAAATGAAGTTTATTCGTTGTGCGCACAGGTTCCAGACAGCCAGCCAGCCCGTAAGACAATGGACTGTCACAGATTTATAGCTGGACTGATGTCAAGATTAGACCCAGCTTATACAGGACAAGTAACAGGTGTGACAACATGACCATATAAGGAGAAACACAAAAATAGGCAGCCTAAAATACAACTTCAACACATACACCCACAACACAGCACATTAACTTCCTTCAAGTCCAAAAAAAAGATACATAAGACATGGCTTGAAGGTCTGTCATACACACGTCACAGTTAAAACTAATTTTGCACAGTGTGATGATTGCTGTAAAATTATCACACTGTTCAGAATTTGATGGTCATACTTATGAAGTGCATGGACCCCTGAATTGCTGCTTGTGACTATATTTTCCCTTTATGTCCCTCTGCCTCACACTGTCTGTCTGCCTGCTACAGATCTGTATTCTACATTATGAAAAAAAATCTTTCTTTCTGTATAACAGGACCCACACCTCCAGTGGATACTGTTATGATCCTCCACCTCCTACCATTGTGAAGCATATCCATAAAGTGTGCTCCTTCTCCAAAACTGGACACACAGCCCTTGGTGCTGTCGGGGTCCTGACATACCAAATCTTCGAAAGTAAATCACGCAATGTTGTTGGTGACCTGGCGATCATGTTCTCTGTGCCTTATGACTACAACCAATATGAAAATATGTTTGCTCTTGGCATTTATGAACCAGGCATTTCATGTGATAATAATCTATTCCACAAGATGTATTATGATGATGTTGTTGATGGTGATACATTCACCAGGGGAAAAGGTACAGGGAGTTCCATAACATGTTGTGGAAAAGGGGCTCTGGTGAAGGGAACAATGTCTGCTTTTGGCAAATCAATTATGAAAGTTGAATTGTGGGATGTGGCTCTTGCTGCTGTTCATGAAAAATAGAAACCCAGGTCAGAATGAAGCGCTTGGTTTTTTAGCTTCATATACCAAACCTGAAGTACGAAACCTAGGTGTGATCTTAGACTCTGAGCTCTGTTTTATCCTGCATGTAAACACAAACGCTAAAGTAGCATTTTATCATTTGAGAAACGTCGCTAAAGGCCTTTTCTATCTCTAGCAATGCAAAGAAATTTGTTCATGCATTTGTTACAAGCAGACTTGACTACTGTGATGATCTTCTTACTGGACGTCCTAAGAAAACTATACATCCCTTACAACTCGTACAAAATGCAGCAGCACAAATCCTAGCAAAAACAAAAAAGAGAGATCATATCACTTATTATTGTTTTTTTTTATTTTTATTATTATTTGCTCACCTAAGTGCTCCTGGAAAAAGTCCAGTATTAAAAGCTACAATCCAATACACTTTATCTACAACCCCAGATCAGAGAACTTGGGACGTTCTGTTAAATTAATATTAAACTGAAAACAATGATTTAGAATATTAGAATTTAGACTTTTTACATTATTTTTTGACCTGTTTTATCTTGAAAACAATATAACAGCACATTATTTGATTTTATTGTTTTTGTTTTTGTTTTTTTTTCAAAATGAACAATTTTTAAATTTTGATTCTTGCAACATATTTAAAAAGGGTTGGGACAGTAAGACATTTAGCCCTCTGCAATGATAACATTCCTTTTCACAGCACAGGATATTTAGGGACTGAAGACACCAAGTGATGAAGTGTTTCAGGTGTAATTTTGGGCCACTCTTCCTGCAAACAAGTTTTAAGATGTCTTTAGCATAGGGTCTTAAATGTTGCATTTGGGCATTAATGGTGCATCACAGAAGTGTAAGTTACCTTTGCTGAGGGCACTGACACACCCTGGCTTTTGGGCTCGTTGCTGGTAACAATCTGGATGGTCCCTTTTATCTCACATGGTGTCCATTTCTTCCAAAAAAGGTCTGAAAT